TTCAAATAGAGGGGGGTGGATGTTTGATACAAAAATGTAGGACTGCTCTACAAAGCACAATTAAATGCTTTTCATTAAAATGAAATGTATAACACTGTGTCTGTTGCAATTGTCAACTCATCCGTACCACATATTTGTTAGCAATGCAAGCTGCTAATACGGCAGAATAACGTGATTGTTTCTTGTGTGTGTTCAACTAAGAGTTTTTTTTAAAGACCTGAGATCCAGAAGACATGTGAACCGGTTGGGATCTTGCCAAAATCATAAAAAGAAGCCAATGTCGGCAGTTACTCTGTTTTCCTGGAAATATGAAATTACATGTTTTTTTTTTTTTTAAACACCTTAATTCCTCCTGGAGGTGACCTAGTGCATAGCGCTTCTCAATTGGACATCTTTAAGAGGTAGTTTCAGTTACATGGTAGGCTCGTCTATTGGGGAAAGAAAAATCAACTGGGGAACATGTTTTCCTAGAGTGAAAGTTATCGTTTAGATTGGCTGATCTAACTAGACAAAACCACACTAAATCATATTTTTGCAGGTGCCTACACAGAATGCATTTGAGGTCTCCAGACAACTTCTAACAAATGTTGTCATCTCATTTTCTTGTCCTACGTACAGCAGCAGGGAAGGGCACAATGATTCCCCTTTTTAATAATTCACATGGCTTCATGACATCGTGTTAATTGAATTACAGCAGTTGGCTTACAGGTCTAGGTGCCTCTTGTGGCATTAGGGAGTTTTGGGACGCCCAAGAAACCTTCCTCTCTCTCGGTATCATGGAACTACATTAGATCACAATGCCTGCAAAAATCATTTCCCCCTTCATTTTCAGAAAGCATCTGGAGAAGGGAAAACTAAGATGCCTCTTGTGGGAAGATGCTTGTAGAAAGATTTAAGTATGACTCTTGGAATTGTCCTTTCCCCCCCTTTTTTGTAAAGGCGACAGTGGCAATTTTGCAGTTCTGTTTTCCAACTCAAACAATGAACAAGCATTTTGGACATCTCTGCTTTACAGAGAGACTTTAGCAAGAAGTTAAATATGAGGTGTTTGCTGGGATGTCAGGATAGCTCCTGTCAATACGTATATTGTCAGTCTGAACATGTGATTAAAAATATCCATTTTAAAAAATACTGGAAAAAAAGTTGGGCTTAGAAGCTAGTATTGTTGGAGTAATGAAATATTATTTGCACTGAAAATGTTAAAGCAATACTGGAGATTAATTACTAGAGAAACATCTAGCTTTTCAATGCTAAGATTTAATGACTGGAATATGAGCTACTTTACTGTTTTAACTGTTCATGTTATCTTTTTCTTTAATTTGCTGTAGCTTAGCAATAAGTACATCATAAACAGACTGATTATTTGTAAAGTACTTTGCAGATTCTCCAGCTATGTTCATGAAATAAAATCACTTGTCTGTGTATTATATTTTTTCATTAAATAAAGTTTTAAAAACAAAATATGGATCTGCTCAGGAAGAACCCCTTGTACTTGGTATATTTTTTTGTTTTGGGGGGAGAGAATAGACAAGAATGATAGGGATCAGCATTTTCAAGATATGGTAAGAATATGACAAAACCATGAATTAACAAAAATATACTGATTAAGTGCTGCTCTCAGTGACTCAGTACTGATATCACAGCTGGTGACAATCAGTTGACCTGTAACTTAAATCACAAGATATATAGTCTGCCAAACTGACTTACCTGATCAAAATATTGCTGATTAAATCCTTCTTAGGAACTGCAGGAAAGTATTATTTGATTAAATGTGTACGTCTCTTGGCACTGTATGCTCCTTCACAGAACAGAGCTACAGAAGCATTGCACTCTGAGCCATCAAGGTTAACATCCTCATGCTGTTGTGAACAAGTGCTGTGATATTGTATTGGTCACTCAGATTAAACTATTTTAAAATATCTGCCATGGGGAATGGGTGCTTTGTCTAAAAATATACTTTCTTCAGCCCGAGAAAAGTAAGAGTATTTAAATATGTTACAGGTCCCTATAAGCACATCTCAAGTTCTATTGTTCTGTGACCATTACAGTTGACTTCAATCTGATGTTCCATTATAATTTGATTTTTGAGAAAATGGGTTCCCACATCATAAAACTATTAAAAATAATCCTGATAATTTAAGTATGACAACAAAAAGCTACTGGCAACCTTTCTTTCTCCAACCACCAGCTATCTGTACACTTGCTACCATCTGTTTCTGTTAATTGGTTCTGATAATAGAGAAAGACAAACATGTTAATATTTTATTGACAAAATGAGAATAAACAAAAATGAATAAAGTAACCTCAATATAGCAGCAAAAATTATTCTTAACCTAGAAAAACAGTGACATACATTACTCCCAATGTGTTTTGAAAGGTGCTCTTGAATCTCAATTCTCTTTTGGTAAATAATCTTAACAGAATTGAGCTTTTCTGTCTGTTTCTGTGTTTTTGAGAGGCTGAAGAGCATTAAGTAGAAGGAACTTAGGCCTTAATGTGAATGCAAGTCATTTTGCAGGGCAGTGTTCTTATATAAAACTTAGAGGTAGCGGAAGCAGTAAATATTTTTACGATTATTATTGCCTACTATTTCATGAGAAAATGTATTTCATTGGAGAAACTAAATCTATAAATATAGATAGTGGTGGAGTTAGATGCAATCTGATGTATATTTACCATAATTGGGATTCAAACCCACTGAAATCAAGAACATGCAGAACAAATCCAAGCAGAATTGGACTGCAATGTGTGGTATTGCTGGAATGTTTATAGAACCATAAGCCAACCCATTGCACTTTATTTTCTATTAAACAGTGGCTGGGAAGTGAGTTCAGTGAGAGCTAATAAACATTCTGCTTTGGGCTAAAATTAGAGGATTTTTCAAACCCTCCATTCTTATATTGTTGATGCTGGAAAAAGTGTTCAAAGGCAGAGATACAGCAAATCAAGCCAAACCAACCTATTGAGGAGATCATAACCAGATGAGTGTTCCCTTCAGATCAAGGGGGCAATTTTTTAAAATAGCCAATATCTTTACATGAAGCAGTGGAATATTTCTCTAGCTATCTGTGAAAGGAAGAGAAATCCTTGGTATGGGTAATTAATTAAGAGAAGCACTGCATGTGCGCAACTTTCCATAACCACAAAAAAATACAATAGATCTATGGATATAGTCCCAAGAATGAGGCCTATAGTCTTCCAGATATTGCTAGTTACAACTTGCCAACAGTTGGTATATCCGGTGGGGGGTGGGGTGTTGGTCAAGCTCTTTTATGCATCAGAAAATTCAGTTTCAAACAATGAAAGAAAATCTTGGGGAGTGAATTGTGAATTGATTGCTTCCAATTCAACCAGAGTAATATTTAGAGTTGCAATCCTACATCCTGAATTTAATGTACATACAAAAGAACGCTAGAAATGCCTAATGATGCACCACAAAGAAAAGCTCTCTTCATCCCAACACAATACCAAGCATCATCTTTCCATTTCTACAAAAAGTAGTTGATGTCAGCAATCTGGTCCTCAATACTGGGAAATGAAGACACTTATGAAATATAGATGCAGAAGAATGTCTTTGATATCTTGCACCAAGATAATTCCCTTTGGTTTGGGGATCAGGGGTCCCCAAACTTGACAACTCTTAAGACTTGTGGACTTCAACTCTCAATTCTGGGAGTTGAAGTCCACAGGTCTTAAAGTAGTTTGGAGACCTCTGGTCTTGATGATACAGGTAGTCCTTGGCTTAACCATTCATTCAGTGATTGAAGTTACAATGGCACTGAAAAAAGTAAGATGACAGTTTGTCATATTCTCATTGCAGCATCCCCATGACCATATGATCAAAATTTGGATGCTTGGCAACTGGCATGTTTTTATAAGTTTAACAATATATTGTATAAGAATTTATAAGAATAACGTACCACTCTGATAAAGCTATGTAGGCAGTTGTGTAATCTGCAATTGCCTTCATAGGCGACTTGTATTTATTCCATATGCAAGGGAATAAACAACAGGTACATTATTTATTTGATGGTACATTGTACAGTATCTTTACAAATCAGTGTCACACCTATTTATTTTTTTAATGAGACTGCTCTGAAATGCATCACAGTATAGACCTAATCAAGATGCTCAAGGGAAAACAGGAACACACTTCAGTACTTGAATACTATTGTATTCAATATTGTATAGGAGTCTCTGTGGCACAGTGGTTAGAGTGCAGTACTGCAAGCTACTTCTGCAGCCAGCTGCCTACAATTTGGCAGTTCAAATCCCACCAAGCTCAAGGTGGACTCAGCCTTCCATCCTTCCGAAGTGGGTAAAATGAGGACCCAGATGGTTGGGGGCAATAGGCGGACTCTGTAAACCGCTTGGAGAGAGAGAACTGTAAAACACTGAAGCGGTATAGAAGTCTAAGTGCTATTGCTATTGTGCAATTGCCACAAATACACAATTCTGTCTCAGATAGAATATTCCTAGTTCAGCATTGAAATGAGGGGGTCCCTGGTGCCCTCTGAACTTGGATGTTTTCTTGCAAGATGTTTCATTACCCAAACTAGGTAATATCATCAGTGCTAAGATTGATCAGTGATAACACTAACAAAGTTACCCAGTTTGGCTAATGAAATGTCTGCGGGAAAACCACCAAGCTCATTCTGTTTCTCTGTCTTAAATGAACAATTAGAACACTGGAATAGAAGAAGTGGAAACACATGAATACCCTGTTGCTGATGACTGTCCCAATGACATTAGCTCTCGACTTACGACACTAATGGAGCCTGCGGTTTTGGTTGTAAGTTGTGATCATTATAAAGCAGGTCATCGCGTAACTGCTCGAATTTATTACTTTTTTGGTGACAGCTGTTAAGTGAATCAGCAGTTGTAAAGAGAATGCCATGGTCATTAACTGAACACCAGAGTTATTAAGCAACCCATTGTTCACTATGGGGCATTTTTTTTGCTGGAAACTAGAAGAAAACAGTTGTGAGGGGGGGGGGGGGGGGGCGACCATATGTTGATCATGGGATGCTGCAAATGGCTGTAAATGTAGATGGTTTCCAAACATCCAAAATGTAGTTACAGGACTGCAGGGAGCAGGTCATACATAAGACTCCAGGTCGCAAATCCCTTTTTCGGGATCCATTGTAACTTCCAATGGATGCTAAGTCACCAGTCATAAGTCAAGGACTACCTATATAAAGTCTACCCTAAGAAACCTACCTAGTCAATTTTTTTGGGTTGCAATTGGTTAACCAAGTCTTGGGTGCTTTGCTTGAACATCTGGGTCATTCCCAACTACAAATTGCTGTGCAAGTGATTGTATGGTGATTTATAAACAGAATGTTCTCCATATAGGAGAGCAAGACGCCTTAAAGGGGATATTAACTTCTGAATGTTAAACCTAAGCTAGTCTGATTTGCTTAGCCATTAAATTCACAATAGCACTGCATGTGACTGAAATACTGAAAATCCACAGTCCTTGTGGACTGAACTACACAAATGCATCATCCAAGTATGCCAATTCCTCATGAAATACAAGTTCCCAGTTGATTTGTTGCCATTTCTTCCAAGTTGCTTTTTCCACCAAAACAAAAAAGCTTCCAACCTTGGACTCCGGAGGAAATGTTCATTTTTCTTTCGCTTGAGCCATGAAAGGTATTTGAGGCAATTACTTTCATTTGCAAGTGTGAATGTCAGTCATGGTCTCACATCTTCTGCAGCGTACATAGCAACACCAAACAAATTTGCACTCACACCTCTCCACGTGCCTAACCACCTGTGTGTTATATCCACGGCCACAGCAGAGGAGGTTGCATCCATCCGGTCCGGCTGATGTGCGGTTGCATTCCCTCCCTTGTGTTCCAGAGACCCCCAGTTTGTGATCTTCCATGCAGTAGTTGGGTGATCTGTTGATATAGAGCAAGTCTTCTCTCTGGATGGGGATGCTCTGCTGGCTTTTTTCTTTCCTGCGTATTTTTCGCCGTAGTCTGTCAGAAATCTGGATACTGTTCTCATACTTTTCTTTTAAAAAACTGCCAACTTTTGCAAAGGATGACATGGTTCTCCAGCAAGTTTTCAGGGCACAAGAACCAGATACGCCGTGACAGCGGCAGTCGATGGACATCAGTTTTGCTACTGCCTGGAGGAAAAATTAAAGTAAACCCCAATCAGAAAAGATCTACTCTTAGGTTACACACCAAGCATATTCCAAAGCATTTGAGTCCCTCTTTTTTAATTTAGAAATTGCTTTCCTCTTATATAACACAAATACTGAATGCACTTTTCATATGGAGCAAAAGACTAGTCTGCTTTTAAACTAGGCAACAGCTTGTTTCTTCAGTCATAGGATAAGTTACATTGAACATTGGACAAAGTGGCAGCAGCTTGCGTAGTCACCATCAGCTTTAGACACTTTGTAAGTATATGGCGGATAGCTTCCTACTCTCATTAAATCACACAAAATCCCATACACCCTACAACATCTGTATCTTTCTGCTCTGAAATCTCAAGGGAAAGGTGGACTGTAGCCTTTAGCATTTTGATAGCCTTTACTGCTTACTGCAATTCCTGGAATCATTCAGATTTCTCTATGAATAAAGAAGGGCCAGGACATCAATATTTAATCTATAGGAAAAACATATGGGTGATCTGTGCAGAAAACCAGAGATGATATCGAAGGATGAATGAGGTAGAATATGAGCAAACCCCAAGAAATCTTAAAGAAGACTAAAAAAAAAAGTAACACAATCCCTCCCTGATTCTCTTTAGTATAATAGGGAGGGAAGGAAAATAACCTCACGTTTTCTGTTACTCTAGTCCAGGGGTGCCAAACTCACGGCCCGTCTGCCGGATGTATCACATGCTGGCCCCTCCCCCGCCCGGTTTAGCGAAGGGGAAAAAAGTCCCATACATCATGTGACAATGCCATGACGACGCGAGTTTGACACCCCTGCTCTAGCCTGTAACAGTACTTTAAATCAGAATTCCAATATTTTTTGTGAAACTATCTAACCTACTTCAAAGAATTTACAACTTCCCAGGACTTTCAGACTGTATGTAACCACAAATATATGTGGTTTCCTCAACGTTTATCTTCCACATAAGAAAGTGCATTATCTTCAATGCAGCCCATTCTGAAGAGCAGCCTGGTGCAGAAAGCTTCCTTAATGGAAATTCAGTTGTTACTGAATTACAACATTCAGTAGACCCAACCGCCATTTTCAATGGTAGGGGAGACTAGGATTTGTAATCCAGTAACCTCTCAAAGGGCCTCCATTCTCATTTGCCCAGGTGGGGCTAACATGGAGGACAAACAGATAAAGTAGCTATGATTGCATGAGGATCTAAATAAAAGAAACATGTAACTTCCTCTCATCAGTATTCATGGATATGTGGAAGAGAAGAAAGGAGGGGAAAAGATTTGAATCCATACCAGCCTTCCTGCTTCATTATTATGCAGATTCATGACCATTAATCCATTTCTATCTTTTCTGGAGATGTTTTTGGTTTGACCATCTAAGAACTTTCTGCTCAACCACATTCCATACTGGATATCATCAGAACATCCACCCCAGTGCCAGCCTTCTCGGGCTGAGCCACTGTTTTGTAATATGGAATCACAAGCGCAGTCAGTCAGGTTCCCTGTGCTGCATAAATGTGTCACTGAATGCACTAGGCCAGCTGCCATCACAGCATAGATAAATGCTGTTTCTTTGGTACCTACAAAAAAAAAAAAAAAAGATTTGCTAAAAATATCAGCAGTATGTTCTGTGATTAATCATTAACGCTAACATGCAACTAAGAATTGGACCATCTGGTTTCACTCAAGAAAATCAGTTCTATCTGAGTCAATCCAATCCAATCAATGAACAACTTAATTTGAATCTGAGCCATTAATAGGACCAGTATGTTGAAACTGTTTAAACGAGAGAGTACAATAAATCATAACTTTTCAACAAGAATCTTTTGTTCATATTCCACAATTTCTCAGAAAAGAATATATTTATACGCTTTCATTTATGAAATTGGAACGACCCAAGTTGTCAGAAAGCATCACTTTGCTCCTGGGATAATGAAAACTGATCTAGCTTGGCCAATGTTGATGCAAGAGTTCAGGCTTAAGCCATCCAAAGCAGGGGTCTCCAACCTTGGCCACTTTAAGATTTGTGGACTTCAACTTCCAGAATTCCTCAGCCAGCAAAGCTGGCTGAGGAATTCTGGGATTTGAAGTCCACAAATCTTAAAGTGGCCAAGGTTGGAGACCCCTGATCCAAAGGACCTCCCAACCACCAGTCCTGCCACCTAAGAACCTACCGCTGCTCAACTCATAGCCAAAGATGGAGAAAGCAGGAGAGGCGGAGATGGATGAAAGATTAGTGGAAAGTGCAGGCACTGTATCCGGGGAGAGTAGACAGTTCCATCGCTCATGTCTGAATTGGCTCTGGCATTCTCGGATGCCCAAGCGTGCTCCTTCTCGGATGCTGTGCAGGAGGTAGGGCTTCTTCTTGCACAGGTCCTTTTGGTGACCATTCAGCGGCAGGTAACCACAACCCAATTTCTCTGGGACACCAAAGGAGGCAATACCCAGCCACCTGCAAAAGCATCTCAGGGGTGAGAGCCAAATACTATGTTTTTCATGTTATGCTAACAGACAGAAAGGATGGCCCACAATGAAACCTCTGCAATTAATAACTACCATAGCTCCACAGAGTGATGATGATGATGATTAGAAAAAATAAGGAGCCACCATCATCAAAACACATGGGGACAAAGAAGCAGAGACTCATGATGGGCATACTAAGTGATACTCTCTTTGCCAGTGGTTAATAAGATTATGCGCTAAGAATCAGGACCCTGAGTACCACATATTCCTTCAGTGATTTAAAAAATAATTGAGATGTTTAAATAATAATAAATAATAATAAATAATAAATAATAAATGATAAATGATAAATAATAATAATAATAATAATAATAATAATAATAATAATAATAATAATAATAATAATAATATCCAGGATACCATGAATTTCAGACTCATGCCTAGTTACATTTCAAAAATACTTTTTGCAGGACGCTAAACTTTTCAATTTTTTTCCATGCTCTTAAATGCCTACACTATTGTTAGACAGAGATATTTATTATCTTCAGCCACATGTTGACTATATTTACAATGAATGTATTCCATTTTTCCACACTGCCATTTTAAAGTGCAGTCCTCCACACCCAGTGCCAAACTAAATACAGATTTTAAGATTCCTTATTCCTATTATACTCAAACTGTTACAATGCCCTGTGGGTTTTATTTTATAAGTGCTGCAAAGAATATATATTAACTTTTATTGGAACATTTCTCAACAGTAATCAGAGTTTTGAATAATTTTTAAATTTATCTTGAACATGCTAAAACATTCACACTTAACAATTTGTTTCTAAATAACATCAGATAGCACAAAACAACAAGCCGTGGTGGAATACCCATCAATACAGCTATATTTTGTAATCAAAAAGATTAAAGGCCCCAGAATTCTGATTGTATTTTTATTTAAAAAAAATAAGGTTGTTATTCTAGTACAATTGTTGGGAACAATGCAGTTTGATTATATTTTAAAAATACACACATGCCTTTAAATGGCCTTTGGGCCTTCAGGAAATGTGGTAAGGACAGATTTAGCCAATGTTTTGGGCTACTTTCACACATGAAATAAATATGTATGTATACACATCTATACTCACTCAGATCTCTCTCTCCCTCACACCATTTACCATCAGATCATAATGTAAAACAAGCCGCTGACCATTTATTTAGCGAAATAAAGTAGACAATACATTTCCTACGGGTTTTCTTTTTGTTCAAGCTGCTTTTGGCTGATCTACAATTTCCTAAAACCTCTGTCTTGATTAAAAAAAAATTTTTTTTTCTTAACATCCCAAATTAATACACATTGACCTAGACTACGATATAAATAGTGCTAAAGAGGCTCTATTTTTTAAAAAAAAAATCTGCATGGCATTTTTTTTTCTTAACATCCC